CATGCCATGGCCAGCTGACACCGTCGCCACCATTGCCAAGGCAAGCCACGATAGCTAACAGCTAGAGCTTGCCGGGAGCTGGTAAGCCATGTCGAGCACTGCATCCTCCATAGATCCGGGTCCCATGCACATGGATCTAGCCCCTAGAAGCTCAGATCTGACTAGAACGAGGACCACTCGACGGGGAACACAACGGGGAGGATGAGTTTGGGAGGAAGAAGGGGAGAAGGTTGTGCGACGGTGGCTGTATTTGGACAGGCTAGGGCAGGCTCGCTTGGCGGCGGTTATCGCCCCCTCCGTCACCGAGGAGGCGACACGGAGAGTTATGCGGAGACATGCATCAAAACAATGCAACCTATATGGTAGTGCGAGAGAGGTGCGTGGAGAGGTCCCCAATGATGCTTCTCTAGCACGTAATGGAAGGTTGTAGTCTGAGTAGATTTTATGATGATGAGATAGCTGCACACCATATGACCAGCCTTAATCTTAGCCATAAGCTCAACATAGGGCGTGTTTGTGTCCGCGTTTCCTGCGGTGGTGGCCAAAACAAGCGCATAATCGTGCCAAATGCCCCTTGTGGCGGTGGCAATTATTGTTTTACCGCACCGGCAAGCACACATAAAAATGAACTGCGACCGCGTTTCCCATGCCCATGATGGGATGGCCACATTTTCCATACCGCACCGTGTCGTCTGTGAGACTCCGTCCCAAACACCCCCATAGAGGGCTGAGCACTGAGCCACATATATATTCGGTGATGTGAAGCGCCTTGAGTTTCTGCATATAATAGTTTTGCACAGCCCTCTCAGGGGTTGCTCCTTTGTTGCTTTTCTTTGCCTTGTTTTGAGGCCTCTCAGTACAGCACCCCCTCTCTTTTATTTCTTGGCTCACTCTTTGGCGCCAAAGTATTTTTTACATGGTAGGGGGTGGTTAACTATATAGAAGCAAATAAATGTTAACAAGTATTCTGTAATAGGGAAGTCAAAGTAGTGCGGCATGATGGGCCGACTTGTAGAAACTAGAGGACACCAACTAGCAATGCAATGCAAAGAAACTAATTTTTATGTCAAAAAATGTATACACTCCTACAGAAACTTATGATAATAAACCACATCTTCAAATCTTCTTTATTTCCTCTGCCTAGCTGCCTGAGATTTGTTGGAATGTCTGATAATGTCATTACACCTTAATATCTCCTGCCTCAGAAAAATTAATATATTAAGTACATGTGGGCCCTAACTGAGACCACCTAGCTAGGAGTCCATAATATTGACCTATCTGAGTGTAACACGGGTGCCAAAGCAACCTATATCACAGACTAACTTACTACGTTTAGCATCAGGGTTTCCTCCCTGTACATACAAATGAGAATGGAATCGTATATACGTTGCTATGACTAACATATGCTTATTGCACAAGTAACTAACGGCTGCCTTTACTTTTTATTAACATCATCAAAATTTGATTTCCTTACCAAATCATCAGATTCGCAAAACCTTTGAGCCACGAAGTCTTGGACATCGAACCTGCAATATATAACGATGCACATATGAAGGATAAAACTTTAAAAATGCTGCATAGAAAACTTTATATATATATATATATATATATATATATATATATAGACACACACACACATAGGACGAGGCTAAAATACACCTGGGTGCATTCTGTATAGCAAATGCACCCAGCCCTTGAGACGAAACGCGTGGGATGGCGGCCCACACTCCCTGCATGCAAGGAATCTTTTGTTGATTTCAAATGAAAAAATGTGATATCTTCTAAACCATATATCCGATTTTAGTTCTATTTGAAGTAGGTTGTTGAAAAAAATATGCTTAACAAAATGAGATCCATGAAGGCTATATTTGATAAAGTTTTTTTTTTCAAATACGTAATTGCAATATGGTGTACTATGAGTTGCAAACACTTCTACAACGCAATTGCAACTTGGCTGTAGCGTATTTAGCACTGGTTGCAATGAAGGCTGTATTTGATGAAGTTTTTTTTGAAATATGTAATTGCAATATGTTGTACTATGAGTTGCAAGCACTTCTACAACACAATTGCAACTTGGTGGCTGTAGCGTATTTAGCAATTGGTTGCAATGAAGGTTGTAATTGATGAAGTTTTTTTTTCAAATACGTAATTGCAATATGTTGTACTATGAGTGCAAGCACTTCTACAACACAATTGCAACTTTGATTGTAAGCGTAGATGTAGCCTTTGGTTGCAACTCGTTACTACACAATTACTACTGGTTGCAACAAAGTTACTACCCGATTGCAAACCATTACTACTGATTGCAACTAGTTACTACTCAATTGCAACACAGTTGCTACTCAAGATATGATTGCAACTAAGAATTGCAACTTGACGTGATTATAGTGACCAGATGCATATAATACACAGTGTTATAACTAGTTGCAACTAGGTGGTAGACAGAGTTGCAATCGGTAGTACATTGACATACAACTCGCTTAAAGGATAAAAAAATATATTCATATTGGATCTAGTTTTGCTCAGAATATTTTTTTGAGTCGGATGCAACAAACGGTTTGTCAATCAGGGTTACGGTTTTGGAGAAAATTTATTTCAAAGATTCAAACCAACAAAAAATTCTATGCATGCATGCATGCATGTATTCGCTGGTTGCTCTAAGTTGGTGCGTCCGCCGGCCTGGTGCATTCTATACATAGGATGCACCCAGGTGTATTATAGCAAAACAGTATATACACACACAATTAAACGGCTGGTTTCAATGACGAAGGGTAGAAAGCACTTTATACAAATGATCAAGTTTCAGGCAGCACTTCATAGGGTTATACAATACCTTCTCTTACATGCATTTAACATCTTTTGCTTATGATTAATTTCCTCCAAACCGTTGGAAAAATCTGTTAGACCTAGACACACTATCATTTGGAATATAAGCTGTGTCAGCTAGATTATTTAATTTGATTCATATATCAAAACAGGGACCCGCGATACAATGATAAGCTAATAGGGATAATTTGTCTTGCTTGGCACATAAATACATTATAAAAAAACACTATAGCAATTAACACTTTGTTACTTTTATTAATAAGTGCATAAGAGAATATACATGGTAAGATATAAAGGCTTCAAAAGTTTATGTATGAGTAGTCCGTCTAGAAATTAGATGCGTAGGAAGGAAGACGTGTATATATAACCATGTCCCCGTCACTTTTTGAAAATTGAAAACCTTGTAATATGTGGCAATCAATCAAAAAGCAAAATATAAGAAGGCCGGTGCAAGAGTCTCCATACCAAGAGCCATCTCTAGCTGACTTAGTGATGTAGACAAGGCCCGATCTTTCGATAGGAATGCGATAGCGTTGATTGGTGGAGACTCGGCGTTCACGATCTAGGCTTTGAACCAAGACTGATTCGGACCCCATAATCGTTACATCATCTTTGCTCCATTGGTTATCAACCACCTTGAACGCGATTGACCTCGCCGAGAAGGCTTTCACGCAAGCGAATCGAAAACACAAGCAAGAACGGGATGAACGCAATCTGAAATTGCAAATAAATATGAGGCTTATGATAACGAGAAGGAGTTCAAGTCTTTATTCGAAAAGACTAATCGCCACATGCGAAACAGTATCAAGAAGCTGAAGCCACGGTTCGACAAAGAAACGACCTTGGCGGCACGATTCTTGACAAAACAATGTACATTTCACGAGGAAATCAAAAAGTAAACAAAACTCAAACTCTAAGGAGAGCAACGGCTGCTAATTATAGAGTCTTGGGCGTCACCCCCTGGACGCGCCCCCTAATAGGCCCAAACACGATACACGGTCCAACGGACCAAAAGACGGTGTCGCAGCACCCTGGCAGATTCTGGACGCTGACTTGTTTTGACGATTCCCGTTGATTCTGAAGAAATTTTGACGTGAGACCACTTGGATTGGCTTCCTTATCAAATTAGCTTTTCAACCATACGTGGATCGTCGAAAACGGAGTCCGGATGCATCCTGGGTGACCAGTTTAAGGCAGACTGATCCTGGAACCCGAGATGGGCTCGAACTTGATTTGGGCCTCTACCTCGATGACTCGAACCGCATGGGTTAGGACAATCTCACTGATCTCCTCGGCCTCTATCTCCAAGCATGGTCGTATGTATGGAGTTCATGTCCTTATCACTTAGCTTCATACTTGGTGTGACCATCGATGATATAATTATTCCCTGATTTTTAAATAATGCTAATAACAAGCAGAAGGAAGATACATGATAGACAATTGTCATGGATTTGTGATGCATATCAGTTGCAAGAATAAAATCATAACATATAGCAATATCCTAAAGAATAATACTGAGATAAATGTCATGTTTTTGTGATGCATATCGATCGATGTGTAGCAAGAATAAAAACGGAACGTAGCATTATATATCCTAATAATAGAAAAGAAGTGCCGGGAAGTTATGAGGAGGCATATAAGCATGGGAAACAAACAAGTTCACAGATCCAAAAAGGATGCAACACATTCATTTGGCAAGTAAGGGAACGACGACGACGAAGGCCCCGCTCGGCTGGCAGAATTTTGGCTAAAACTGGCTGAAAAACACTGTTTTAGCTGAACTGTTATGAGAGAAAAACACTGTTCTGGCTGAAAAAAGAAGTCGAACAAGTCGAATATGGGGTAAGCCGAACGGGGCCGAAGTACGATGGAACTAAAAGGCTGCACGCAGAGTTACAGTTTATCATTAGCTTTTTTAGCATGAATTGGAAACAAACCTTCTACGTCAGATGAAATAATACAGCCGCGCTCACTATCAATTCCATGGCTCTGAGTTACATACAAATCAAGATAAGGAGCATAATACTTATATGCTCATAAATCATAACTCAGTTCACAGATTTGATCACTCGCTCACTGTGTTGTTCCATTATTATTGCCTTCCTAAAAACCAGCAACTAGCAGATCCACGCAAAGAAGCATCAGTGATCGTAGTCACAGGTAACATCTATCACCTGAGGAAGACGAAGATCCTGCGTGCGTAGTGACCGTTGGCTTCAACTTGCTGAGGGAGCAGCCTCGAGCTTGCTGATGGTTGGCCCAAAACTCCCTTGTGCTCACCACTGGAGGATGTGCTTTCCTGGCTACCTTGGGGCAATGCTTGTTACGATTGTTATGAAACCAGTTGAGCACCTGCATCAGTTCCCCCCCAGCCCAGATCCCCAGATCCCGAATGAAAAAGGTTCATGGGAGGAGGAATTTGAAATATCTGGAACATCGATGCACAGAGCTAGCCATGTACCTGCTTTGGCTTGACGGGAGTCATGCCAGCAAGGCCCCGGAAGTAGCTAAATTTCACAGCGAGCTCTCATCCATGAGGATGTGATCCAGCCTGCGATTGGTGACCGGGAACAGGCGCTCCTCCATCTCTTTCACTTCGGCCGGCAGGAATCGGAAGGGTCCCTTCATCCCCGTGCTGCTTGATTGCCCATCCATCCTTCTCCGATCTAACTGCTACGACGACTGCTACTGAGCCTTCAAGCGGTGGTAGATTGAAGGTTGTTCAAGTAAACGATGGATGGATTACCGGAGATTGCAGGTCGGAAAGGAAGGGAAAGAGAGAAGGGTCGAGGACGTTACCAGTGCGAGCCCGCTGCGTGCTCTACGTGCCGTGTGCACTGCTGCCAGTTGCCGTCCTCTACATCTAGCCAACGTGTTTCTCTCTCATCTGACGTGTTAGCCAGGCCACGCCACAAGGACAGTGTCAGATGGGGTCCACTTCTGTTAAAAAAATGTTGGTTTGCTATAGGCTAGCGCTTAAATGAGTATGGCAAATGATTTTTATATTAATTGCAGAGGTGATGAAGAAGGAAAAACAACTCATCTAAAATAAGCCGTATTAATGACCATACGATTCATAGTTCCATTTATCCTTAAGTATAAGCTTTTCTAAAACTTAAGAAAAAAGCATAAGCATTTCTAGGAATAACAGTACTAATTAAAGGCACTACATAATGCAGAAACTATGATAGTTTCTGCATGTATTAATGCACCGCCACAATGGCAATTTGCTGATGTGGCAAGTGATTTAACGAGAGAGAGAGAGAGAAAAATCCAAAAACTAGGTCTAACTAAGAAACTGGGTCTGCAGCGGTTATCGGTGGACAAGAAACTACAGAGTAGCCCATTGGGATAGCAAACATGGTTTCTATCACTACTTATACCATGTACTATAGAAAATCTTGCCTTTGGGAAGGATCGTTTCTTGCTATGATGTCTTATATTATAGAAACTGCTAATAGTTTTTTGCATTAGGAGTGCCTTATATGTAGCCAGAGAAAAATATGTCATGCCCATCATTAAACGACATTGTGTAATTCTCAGTTCTTACATTTTGAGAGAAGTTCCAGAGGGGACGATGATGAGCGACGTCATATGGATGATTCAAGAATATTCAAATATCAAAACTCAACTAGATTTAATTTTGACATCAAGAATAGAAGAGAAAAATGATTTTCCTACTAAGGACAAGAAGTAAATTTGAATATCACCACTATGGAAAATCTAACTCATCTATATCTACTTGAAGCAATAGAGAGACAAAATAGCTTTTACTACTAGTATACTAGTTTACTCAAAAAATCTTAAATCTAGAAGTCCATAAGCTACACATGAGTTGTTACCTAGTGGTCAAATACGAGTTACCATCTAATAGTCATATTAGTTGTACTTGGGTAAGATATTGTAAGCATTTAGGGGTTGTTTGGGTGCAACCCTGAGCTTGCTGCCTGGGCATTTCAGCTGCCTGTGAGCCGCTTGCTATCAATTGTAAAATGACTAGCAAGGCACATATGAACCTGAGGTGACAGAAGAGCTAGGCAGCATTTGGTTCATCCGTTTGAGGAGTAGGAACAGTGATTTACGGTGCTTATAAGCCAAGCAACTGGGCGGACATCCAGGTGATCGATTTCGTGCACTTGGTGCCCTGCAACTAGCGTAGGAATCTGCATCTGGCAAAGAAACTGGGGCTCCACCACCGCTTGTTGAGCAGCCACAGGTCACTACCGCAGGAGGCAGCCACTGGGCACCGACAGTGGGAGTAGGTAGTGTTGACATCGGAGTGGTCCGAATCACACACCAGCAGGGCATTTTTTGGCAAACATCCATAAAATACATGAGAGAAAGATTGAGGGTCATAGGTGATTGAGCATTAGCTTGGTCTTGATCTTACTGTAACACCCCGCATCCAAAAAATACTTATATGGTCTAGTACTGCACGTGGAATGGGCCTACATACGCGTAGCACCTCTCTTATACTTTATCTTCGCCCGTAAAAGGGTTAACTCAGATGTGCTACGATTGGAACGACGAGGCTTATATGCTGGCCTTCACTCTCCTAAATTCCCAAGGTGGTACTGGCCCTCACGCTTCTAAACTCCCAAGGTGGTACTAAACCCACCAACAACAACTCTACATGTGTCACTTTACATGGGCCAACTTCACAACTACTACAGGCTACTAATAGGTTGGGGTGTTACATTCATCCCCCTTAAGGGCTGACGCCCTCTGTAGCTCAACTCTACATGTGTCACTTTACATGGGCCAACTTCACAACTACTACAGGCTACTAATAGGTTGGGGTGTTACATTCATCCCCCTTAAGGGCTGACGCCCTCTGTAGCTCACCACATATATGTGGCAGATGTCTAGGACCACCCCTTGGTACACCCCTCCAGGGCACGTGCAGCAAGAGTTGATGCTCTGATACTATCTGTAACACCCCGCATCCAAAAACTGCTTATATGGCCTAGCTCCGCACGTGGAATGGACCTACATACGTGTAGCGTCTCTCTTACACTTTCGTCCTCGCTTCATGTAAAAGAGTTAACCTAGACATGCTATGATTGGAACGACAAGGCTTATAAGCTGGCCCTCTCCCTCCTAAACTCCCAAGGTGGTACTAAACCCACCAACAATAACTCCACATGTGCCACTTAGGCTACATGGGTCACCTTCACAACTACTACAGGCTATTAATGGGCTGGAGTATTACACTTACCCTTGTGATGGTGGAGAAATCACCACACTCCATGCTCCCTCCAAGCATGAGAGATTTGGAGTTAGGGTTTGAGAGAAAAATCAAGTAAATTTGAAAAGAGAGCTCTTGAGCTAACTATGGCTAAGGATTGAGATGGAGAATCTCTTAGGCTTGATGAGGGGTTGATCTTGCTGCCTTTGCTTCACTTCATCTTTGTTCTTCCTCCATTTCTCCACTTTCTCTCTCTAGTTCTTTATAACACCCTAGTGTTAAGCATGCATTGGGCACTTGCATTTCATGAGCACAAGCATCATCCAAGCATTCATGAGCATGAGCATAAGAAGTTTCATCTCATTCACTTTATCTTTATCACATGTGATGTTGCTAATATACATATATATATATATATGCTTGCCATTGTGTGTGACCAATGCATGAAATGGTTGTGAGGTCACAAAAACACCTTAGACACACTTAGGATGATACATGGAACAAGTTTGGTATTCATGACTTGGACCAAAACTGTTGCAGAACCGACCAATTTATAAGAACACAAGTACAATGGCGGTCCGCAAGCGGTCGCACTATCATACTTGAGCCCATATAAACCCGGTAGTCTGTCGAGTACCACGACGGTCTCGATAAATGATTTACAACAACCAAGATCGTACATGATTCAACATACATGTCACATATTACATAAAATTCACAGATACATTTTGTCTTGTTACAATCATGATATATGAACTAGCATATAGTTTGTGTGTTATGATCTTAACATGTTCAACTTTATGCTTAATCATTCATAGGATTTGTATGAGTAGAAGTAGAGCTAGGGTTGAGGTGGCGGTTCATCATTCCTTCAGGTTTGCCCATATTCTTGCTTGTCGATCCATATGGTCGGAGTCCTAGGGGATATGGGTAGTTTCCTTGTATAAGGCGTGGTCTCGGGTGCACGGAACGATATTGGTGCCCCCGATTGAGGGGTAGGTTGCAGGTGGTGACAGCCATGTCTGTCCCTTATAATCCTCCACGTTTGGGTATTGTGTAGGAGTCTTAAAGTCTCTATGGCTTGCTGGCAGACAGTGCCCGGGGATCTCCCCGTCCATCTCATATTTAGTTCTAACTCTAGTCATATAACTTGTATGATCGTTAACGGTTGTTTGTACGGCTATATTAGAACATGTCGGCTCTACGTAGGAACATTCTTTTATTCTTTGTTTTCCTTTAATCCTTGAGGTTTGTCCAGATGTGTGTCCACTTTCCACTATGCAAGTATGTAATCTTGTTCATGCTCATGCTAGACTCTTTATACCTTGCCATCCTTTGGGAAAATATAAATAACGATACCCTGAATACTTCTGGGTGAAATGCTACAACGATAGATCCGTGTGTTTGCAGATATTCTCTGTAATCATTAAGAACTATCGTAGTTGGTGTTTCTTGGTGGCGTCGCTAAGGTTAACTCAATCTTAGTGATGGTGCTACAAAATACCAACATGCATTTCTGGCGCCGTTGCCGGTGATGGACTTAAAACCTCCACACTTTGTGATTACGCTAAAAAATGCCAACAATGCTTACCACATTTGATTTGATGATCACATTCATGGCTGGATGTTGGTTGGTGGTGGTGGTTGTGTTACCATGCTTTATATTGTTAACTATTTATTTGCCTTGTGAACTCATTTGCGGTGCATCGTTTTATCTTATTGAAACTACTGTACAATGTAAAAACTGTGGTTGGTGTTTCTCATTTATGATGTCCTGTGCATTGATGTCCTCACTGTTCTGACATATGTGTGATTTTCACTTGCAAAAAAGTACAAACTAGTTTTTTATTGCATTGTTCGAGTATAACCCTTGTACATCGTCACCTGCCATGTAAACGGCCTTATTCACTACTACGTGAGGAGTGACTGAAGGACTACCATGTAGCATTTATGGCACTAATACTATAAATACCAGACCTTTACAATCGATGGCGTAGCAGAGGTTTTGAAACCACCTCTCATAACTATTTTTTGACAGCCAAAAAATTGTTTCCATAGTAGTGATACAATTTGTACCCCTACAAAAGGCCATTTCTCTGGCAGTGTGACTCTGATCAACTTCACAAACACAAGTATTTCCTTATCCCGACGTCTTACATCTTTA